CTAGTCTGTGGAAATGCATTTGTTTTTTTTCAGGGTGGGTTTGTTGTACTGTGAATTAATGTTTTTAAACACAAACATTAGTAAAAACTCTTGCAAACAGATATGACCTACTAGTAAAACAGTCCTACTCATCCTTGAGTCAGCTGAAGCTGGACATCTTTCTTTAACTTTAAACAAGTGTGCTTTGGAAATTTGAAGTAAATCCCAAATACTTTCCACCATTTGAAAAATAAAATCATTAATGGATTCCAGTTTTAGTGAATATCTATCTATCTATCTATCTATCTATCTATCTATCTATCTATCTATCTATCTATCTATCTATCTGGATAATTACATTTTCAGAATAAAGCAAATTCTGGACCCATGAAAAACCAAAGATCAAATACATTGGATGGTAATGTTGCATAAAAATCTATTTCTCTCTTTTAATCTTTAGAAGTCTACCCAGACCTATTACAATCTATCATAAAAAAGAAAAGAACATAGCAAAGGTGAACTCAAGCATGATCATTTCCGAGAAACTCATTGTTAATCTTCTATTTCTTAGAAACCATTTTCTTGTAAATCAGCTACCCAGACACTACCTTTTTTCCAGGAAACACATTTATGAAAAGTTAGGAACTGTACTAAAATATAGATTCAATGTATGCTGTCTACATTTGATGTAGACATAAGGCATAAGTCTAAAGTATTAATGGTCCTTTAAAAGTCCTAAGGAGTGAAAATCATTATGAAATTAAAGTGAAGTAATCAAGTTTTATTTCCCTACAATGAGTAAAAAACAACCTGAAGTGTTGAAGTTAGTGCACGTGAACAGCTGTCAATAGCAAAGCTTAGGTTCCTTTTTTTCCCTTTTACAATATTTAGTGAGAGTTTTACACCAGAGCTGTTAACAAGCCACACAAGGATGCTGTGGAGTGATTCAATTCTATAAATGCTGAATAATATCCAATATAAGCAGTGCTCTCCAGCAGTTTGACCATAATTATGCCCAATTATCACCGCTTTATAGAATGATTCATCATTGAGCGAGACTGATTAAATTAGAGTCCCATGGTGGTGTGTGAAAAGCAGAGCCCCTGCTGTAGCGCGTGTTTTTCTGCCCTCTGTATGGGTAAGACTACACGCTAGGTTAAACCCCAAATTGGGTAACTGTCAAGCGACAGCACCTGCTGGAACGGATCATCCAGAGCTGGAGAAAGACTGGGACTGCCTTGAAAAGCAAACATTTTGGCCAGCAATCCAGCCAGGACTGGACTTTGAACTTAAAATGCCAAAGGTGAAAGACAAGGCAAAGGAATATCCAACCGTGAAGGACCTGCAGAATGTTTTGGACTCTTGTAAGCTACACCTCGGCCAAATCGATGAAGTATGGCCGAACATATACATAGGAAATTTGTAAGTATGAATTTGATTAGAGTTTTTTGAAATTGCACTGCAACAATACAGGTGCAAAAAATAGAATTTGATTTAAATGTCCAATTCTTTTTACTCATTTTGTTAAAAAAATGTAAATCATATCTTATGCAGAATTATTACAAGCATTTATTTATGCATTTATTTATATGTTATTGCTAACAGAAAAAAAAAATCAGTTTTAAAAAAGTATTATGTGATGCCAATGAAAGATAAACTGTTTTTAACACTGGAATTCAACCCCTGTCAGAAAAATGATGGAATCACTGGCCTCAGAGGATGTTCATTCATTTTGTATAAAAAGATCAGATCACAGACATGACACAAGCTAAAGTTATTTCAAATTGCAACTTTTTTCATGATTCCATATTTTTTTCGCTCTGCATGGTCTGAAAAAGTGACCATTAATGAATACCACATTTTTATTTTATATTACTTAAAGCCAGACAGTTGTCTGTGATCTGCTTTTTTCTACAAAATTAAACAACTAAATGAACATCCTCAGAGGCCAGCGATTATATCACTTTTTGCCAAGGGTTGTATTATGGCTCACACAATCATGATGAAAACCACTGACTTGATAGTGATCCAGCAGACCGCCAATGACATCATCCACAAGAATCATAAGCCACTGAAAATTTCAAATGGAAGGAAAAACTGGTAGAACAGACGAACAAGCAACCACAATAACTGCAGCTTTGAAAGGATCATACAGGGGTACATGTTTAAGGTTTGGTAAAAGTAAAACTTTCCTTTTATTTGGAATTAAAGCTCTAACAGTCTGGAAGTCTAAGAGTCAGGTAAAGAGACAGAAATCACTTTAAGGTCCATAGGAAAGTTCTTACAGTTAGTGCCTTCCTATTCGAAGGGAGTCATACCGTTCATATTTTACCACTTGCTGGTTTAATGACACAATCTATTCCGTTGGGCTTATTTACATAAAACAATGTTTTATCAGTCATTATAAACCCCTTCTAAATGCTTTGCATATAATGAATTTGAATCTGCCTATATGACTGCAATGTTTATATGATTTAGTCATGTAAATTGCTGTTAGATTACATTTTCTATAACATGGCACAATTCAGATAAACTGAATCGAAATAGAAACTGAATTAAAGAAACATGCCAGGTTCAATGTTTCCATCCCGGACTATATTGTTGCAATACATTTTCAAAATGAACCCAGACCGGGGGTGAGCGGGTACATATACTGTATACTCCACAGACATACCTTTCATTGCGCCAATGTGTTTGTATTAAAAAGGCTGTTTTGTATCATTTATTATTTATTCTTAAAGAAACTGAGTGTGGCTTTTTATATAAATATACAGTTATCATAATCGTCTAACAAAGTGAACCAATAGAATATTTGAAACGGCTCCTGAAATCTTTAACTAATGGAGCATTTTTTTCTGTAGCAGTTTGACCTTCCACTCAACTTTCCATTGAGATGCTTCTATTCATGACTTTCTAAACAACCAGCTTCTTTATGAATTCCTGTTGCTTATCTTCCTGTTTAAATGTATCAGTTATCATCTACTGGACAGTGATCCCCATGATGATGTAGGTCATTTCATGATCACTACATTATATTTCAGTATGAATAATATTATTTTCATTGGTCTCATTAAATATTCTTATTTTGCAGAGATTGTTTTCATTATCTGCAAACATAATCATAAAAAATAATGCAGACAAATAATTTAAATATGCTCGCCTGTGTTTTAATTGAATATTTTCTTTTTTCACATATTGACTAATGCTGTGATAAATCCATTGTGCTGCTTTGCATAGTTTTCTCCCAAGTCTTCAACCTCTCTCTGTCTCTGTGTCTTGCTAGGGCAGTAGCCCAAAACAAGGCTGTCCTGCTGAATTTAGGCATAACTCATGTGTTAAACGCAGCTCACTCCAAGCAAGGCAGCCTAGGGAACCAGAGCTTTTATGGCAAGGACTTTGTGTATTTTGGCATTCCAGCAGATGACTCGACCTACTTTGATCTGGACGTTTACTTCCAGCCTGCAGCAGATTTCATTCATAAAGCTCTGAAGTCACCTGGTGGTAAGAAACCTTCTAAGATTTTAATCATAAAGGACAAAACCAAAAGAAGCTTCTCCATTTTAATGCATATTACACATTGAATCCTTTATTTCACTCTGTCAAATATTTAATAGAGTTAACTATCCAAAATCTTATATCTTGCAGCTCTTTCAATGTCACCAGTTACCACAATGTAGCACTACTTGTACAAGAATTCAAATTCATGTTCATCCCGTAATAATAAGACACTTACCTTGCTGAATATAGAAATGTAATAGCTTCTGTCAAAGAAACGATCAAGGAGAGGATGAGGTGGGATTAAAAGAGCTGGCCTATATGAAAAGAGGTTCAAATTAACAAAGATGATGACTTGTCAGTTCTATTTTTAACTCTCAACCAGAAAAAAAAAAAAAAAACAGAAAAGAAAAGAAAAGCCACAGTGTGAGACGGGCAGTCATGTATGATATTAATAGGTCTGAGGCCTCTCTAATCCTTCCCTTACACCTCTCTCTGCCTTTGTTGTTTCCTTCAGGAAAGGTTTTGGTGCATTGCATTATGGGAATGAGCCGTTCGTCGACTTTGGTACTGGCCTACCTCATGATCTACCATCAGCTCCCTCTCAAACAAGCCCTACAGAAAGTTATCCAGAAGAGAGCAATCTACCCAAACAGGAATTTCCTGGCTTTGCTGCTGGATCTGGATCTTCAGCTGACGAGGAAAAAGAAAACCTGTCAGATCCTGTAGAACTATTCCGCTTTGCAGGTTCACAGCAAGATGTAAGGCAGTCTGTTGATCCAGCTGTCTGGACAGTGGCATTTCTGTAGAAAGATGTTTTGGCTTAGCTGGCTGGGATATTTAGATTGATACTGATATTATACTGGAATCTTAAACCTAAAATGGTAATCAGGGTACTTATCTACGTCTACAATAACTCCACCTTTCAGATGCCTCCCGCTTAAAAAAAAAAATAAAGAAAGAAAAAGAACACCAAAACGCTATAAACTTAATTCTCTCTCTCAAAAAAAAAAAAACTTGACAAAATTATTCAGAATTTTCCCAAAGTCCAACGTTCTTTCTTTTCAAAGACTGCAACAGTTCTTCAGTGGCTCAAGAGAATTTTACTCCTTCACCAGTTCTTACCTTCATTTTTTATCCTATGTGCTGCAATTTTACCCGTTTCTACTTTCATTTTTTTCCTGGGGGAATTTCATTAAATGCCCATGAACCATTGCATATAAATTTATTACTCATTGTAGCGGGGGAATTTTATGAACTATGGACATAAATTCTTAAAGTGAAACTCAAATATTGTAATTCAGTTGTACGATATTTTCTGAAAAAGTTGTATTGCTTTCTACTCACTTTTATTAGATTTATTAAATCCTGATCCCAACCCAGAGTAAATATAGTGTTTTGATATATTTCATTGTAGAAATAGAGCAAACTTTCTTCAGAATAGACTTTGAGTGAAATATAAATTATTATTTTTAATTTGTGTTGTCATTCGAGGTGATATCAGCATAGTAGACACAAAATGACTCATGGTTGGTACGAAAAGTCTTGTGGAAGAAAGCACAGATTTGTTTGACCAAACAAACAAAGCTGCAAAACAACCTCACCTATTATAATTTTTTGTTTGTTTTTACCATTTTATTCTTATGTCTTGATGTGCTTACTTGTCAGTACAGAAAGTCATTTGCACTTTTTATTTTCTCTGACAGATTATATTTTTTTCAGCTTTACTCATATCTTAGCAATGATTACAGGACTAAAAGTTTTGTTGAAGGGCATTTGTTGTTCCTCTGTACCCTATACTTTACACATAATGTGCTTTTGTTGAGGTCGTGGTTTTATTACAGTCTTACTAAACTTTAAGTATAAAAAACTTCAAATTTTCATGTGGTGTCCATGCAGGAACCAATGTGCAAAGCACCAATGGCTGATTGGCACTAAAAGCAGTTTAGGGTCAATCTATTCTGATGACAATAAACCAACTTGAAACTTGAAAGCTACACACACATTTATACATCCGTGGTGTTTAAATTAATGTATTGCTCTACATAAAATATTTATAAAATGGGCTGACTAGTTGTTCTTTATCTTTAATTATATAGCAGACTCCTCCTGTCGCGCAAAAATTGGTTGAAAAGACATCATGATTTATATCTAAATGACGTCTATGTCTGATTGAAAAGTGAATGGTGAAAAGCTGTAATTTTCAGATCGTTAAAAATAAGTTCAAAACTGGGTTTTCAGCTTATTTTGTTGGACTAAAGTGGGACAAATATCAGACATCAAGGTTCTATCCCCTGTTTTGGCTAGACAGCTAAATGGAACTATAAGAGATCATAGCCTCTAATGCCTGTGCAACTTTGCAGTCATACGGGTCATGGCGATCACAAAACAGGCTTAATTCAGAGAAAACTGGACATTCACTTAGTTCTTCTGAAGAAGTTGCAGGATCTTCCTGGGTTCTGCTTGGGGAAAAGATAGGGTGATGGTGAATAACTGGTCAGAGGAGGTGGGAAGGTGGAGAATGCTGAACTCACTGGGTTTGAGGTTGTTTTTGGCTTGGAAGGATGGTGTTCTGGGTCCAGGTGCAAATTGAGACTCTCTCTCTTGTGATGGTGTGTAGGGGGGTGGACAGGCAGGGGGGCTCCTGAAGGACGGCTGCAGCAGACTGTGACCTGAGAGATCCAACGGATGAGGAAGGTCCAGGCTTGGAGGTTCAGTTAGCTTGGTTGGTAACTAGGAGAGAAAAGACGGAGAGAAGGAATTAGAGCTGGCTTTTAGAGGAAGCAAGCTGGTAGGTCATATACCACGCTGGTAGCGAGAAAGAACTGACGCCCTCCTCCTCGTCCAAGCTCCTCAAGTAGGCTCCAAATTAACAGATGAACCACACCTGCCCATCACGCCTTTGCAGAGAAGAGAGAGAGGCACCAGGCCTGCAGTATGACAGTAGCAAAGATGTAACAGTGACCCTACCATCTCCAAGCCTCCTGCTATGAGAAGTGGCCAGTAACATACTGGAGAAAAAGTAGTTCCAGTACTGTATGGGGATGCATATAATCAAAGGCTAATAAGCTAAAAAAAAAAATCTTGCATGTTTTACGTTAGATGTTTTCCACAATTTTGAAACATCCCGGATCTATTATGATGTTTTTTTTTTGCCGCCAATAAATGCAGGAAAGGTGCAGAAGACAGTTCCTGCAGACAGTAATAAATGAAACAGTTCATCAACGGCTGGCAGAAGGATCCAAACATTAAAACATGCCTGATATATTTGCTTTGATTTGAGAAGTATTCATCTTATCTCAATGGGAATATGTGCACTTGAACTTTGATAAGGAAACTTAGCTTTACATTCTCCTATTTACTAGAGGACTAGAGGGGGTGTTGTAATCCTGTCTGGGGCAAAAGAGAACATACCACAATACTGCAGCCTTCACTAGCAATAGACCTTGAGCTATTTTAAGTAGTTTTCACCATGGCAGAAAACCCAGAACTCTTGTGAAATAAATATTTGCATTGAAATATTTCAGTTTTTTTTAAAACAGCAAATGTTATTTATTTATTTAAGAATCACATTTATTGATAGGGGGGTAATTATCAGAAAATGACATTATTGCACATATGTTTAACATATGACTGAGCTTGAAAACAACAATAGATTGACAGCAACAAAGTTCTATAATATTTATCATGTTTTGCATGGTTTTCTTTTTTTATACAAGTTTAGGATTAGTTGGACAATGTCTATGGTTTGATACTTATAAAGTATAACTGGTCCTTTGGGCGTGGTTACAGAAATGTACTATGTAAAACCATAACATCAATCTAAAAATTGTCATTAAAAACACAGTAGATTGAGAGCTAAAACATACAAACACAAATGTCTCAATTATTCTTTCAAGTCAATTTTTCTTTAAAACTTATAGGAGTATTATGGACCAAATTAATCACAAACATGTGTTTAAAAAAACATTTTTTATTTATTATATTTATCTTTTTCTTTTTTAATCTAAGCTCCTTTGTCTCTTAAAAGAAAGAATAAATCAGCATCATCTGTCTGACAGATCATACTGCGAAATTTCTATGTGTTATTCATCACAGCAGTTGAACTGATCACTGCTGTGCATCAAAAGGCATCAGATCTTTTGACAGTCCAAGGAATCTTCTATAAGCATTTCAGATACACAAAGGATATGAACATGTATCTTGTCTGCTGCGAAGATCTACAGTCTAACCATTTCAAAATGTTCTGTATTACACATTTATTCCTAGAAAGCATTTTCGCTCTACAGTCAGAACGTGCACGTTACAATAAAATACAAATGAAATTTAGATTTTAGATACGCAGATATCACAGAACAATAAATATTGAGAGGTTTATCTTTTTTTTTCAAACTGTCTCTTTCAGTATATAAATGTTTATGTCATAATTCATAAATATGAATAATTGATGAATAAAATAAATGTATGCATTGGTTGCATTATTGTTTTTTGCTTTAGGGCAGAAGTGCATCAGTGTTCTGGAGTTTAGTGCATTACAGTTTTATTTTTTTATGTAATGACAATTATTAAAGTATGCAAAGCTAAAAAAAAAAAGAGAGAGAGACACTAGTCCTGATCAAATTGCCAGTTCTTGATTAAAGCACATGGATGAGAAGCAGATCAGAAAAGTTCAAACAAAGCAGGACAGATCTAATTTTCCTCACTATTAAAAAAAGACGTGTCCTATCTTTGCTTCTGCACTGGCAGCTCAGATAACCTTTAAGGAATGTACAGGATGACGCCAGAATTATTTTGGGCTGTGATTCAGATGTTAAAATTAGCGAAAAAGGTTGCAGGGTAGATTACCAAGGAGAGCAGAGATAGTTGTGCTTTCGACCTAGATGTAGCTCTTGTATAGCGAGACCATGAAAAGCAACGATTTCAGCCAAGGCAAGTGTCTACTACCAATCTGTTTCTTTTATTTTACTGCACATATAATGTGTTAAGAAATAACTAAGTACAGTGTAGTATGTTTCAACTCCAATAGAAGCTTTGTTGTCAAGGTAATGTTTATAATTTGCAAAAAATGTGCAATGATTAACCAGAATAAGGCATATTTCTAAAAAAAAAAAAAACAGCTTCCCCCTCAAAACTGATACATTTATAAAACTTTCAACCAAAGTTGTATTTTTATATTATAAAACGTATTTTGCAGGTGCACTATATTCTCTCACAAGTCTTTATAAAATGTATTTTCTTGTCTTTTGATTAGAATACTGTAATCTATAAATATTCAGTGGCTTAAAATACCTTCCCATAGACTAAGTTTAAATAGTTTATCAACAAAACGGCTCATGTTGGATTGATCTACAATGTCACATTTATTTATTTATTATTATTCATCTGTTTTAAGCCAATCTGAATTGACTTTTTTGGATAATTTAGCTCAAGGTCACAAACTAATCACTGGACAGTATGTGTTCTTCTGATTTAGAGCAAAATTCATGATTCAATCAATTATGGAAAGTCTTTCAGGCCCTAAAGCAGAAACACCATACCATAATACTGCCATCACCATGTTTGATTGTTGATATGTATATGCTGTGTTTTATGCCAGAAGAAACATTTGGAAATGTCAGACTTTTTTAAATAATTTCTTAATCCTACTGTTTAGACAGTAATCTAGACTAATTATAGAATTAAGCCAAAAATGGGCTCAGCCAAACCTAGTTTGTGATTTAAAAGGCCATCATAATAATTATTTATGGGCCACATTGGTTTGGATATCCTGGTTACCTTATTAACTGTAATTTTCATTAAAAAAAAAATAGTTTTTACATTTAGCCAGATTATCTTTGCATGACATTGAAAGTTGTTCTTCAGTATCTCAGAGAAACAAAAGAAATCTGTAAGGACCAAATGCACGACTTTAACTATGTGCATAAAGGGATAAAATGTTGATAAACGATACAAAAAATTTTTTAACTTTCCACCTTTTTAGTAATTGTTCACGAGTGCAAACTAACCACATCTGAAAGGCTGCAGGAGGTATTGTGATTCTTGAAACCACCAAGAAAAAGGCTAGAGGATGTAAAAAGCAAGCCACTTTTATTTGCCCTACATGTTAACTGCAGGCAGTTTCCCATAGAAAGTATCTTTAATTACACAAAAGTGGAGCAGGGTGGACAGGTTAGCCCGAGGGAGAAAGGTTGTGAAAGCAGAGCTGAAGCTCAACATATGCACCAGGGAAATCAGTTTTCCGGCCCTAAATGTGGGAGGGAGGAAAAAGGCTACACTTCTAGATCAATGAGGAAAAAGAAAAGCCTGTCGGTAATTCTGGGTTTATGTTGTAGAAAGATACACTTTGCTGCCTTCAATACTCACACTTGGTCGTCTGTAGCCTCTTCCTGCATGCACCTTTTTCAAGTGACACAGATCAAGTCGCCATGATGTGCACTTCCATATGCCACGGCAGCTTAAAGGAAAGGTCACTGAAATAGATTTGATCACAATGACTCCTCATTGTGAAAAAGCTTTCTGTAAACCCTCTGAACCGCTGCATGTCCCCACTCACGAGAATAACAGCAAATAAAGAGCAGCAATACATGGGTGTCAGTTGTGCAGCCTCAGTCCTAAGCCCACACAAGGATAAACTAATGCTAATGCATACAGCATGTATAGTAAAAGTCTCTCTAAAACTTGGAATAAATTGTAAAAGCACAAGTTAGATCCACCCACAGGACATGAAAGACAGTTCACAGGCCTTGAATACAAACATCCCGTTTCTCTGGAGATAAATAAATTCACCATGCACAGCTGAATCATAAATAAAATAAAAAGAGCAGCATAAGTTTACCTTATAATTATGTGATCTTGTGCTCCTGTGCCATTATGGGCTATGTTTAAAAGCTAAATATAAATACTTTGAATGTATGATCTACTTAACAGTCCTTCCTATAATCCCACGAAGAAAAATTATGCACTTATTTATGTGTTTGATGTGTTTTCGTTAAAGTTATTTAGCATTTAAGGTTAAAGCCTACAGTGTGGAAAGCTGTGTAAACATGGGTGTTTTATCAAAGAAGCAATCGAAACTGTATGAAAAAAACAGCTAATAGATATATATGATTTACTCCTTGCAGTAACTGATATTTTATTTCAAGGAAATGTAGTTTGTGTTTAAGATCCTGATTAACAAGAAAAGCCACAAATTGGCACTTAACAGTTTTTCAAAGTTAATAATTAAATTTTTTGTGCAGTTTAACAGCGTTAACAGAGACAGGAATATAAAGAAGAAACACTTTAAAACTATTTTTTTTATATATCTGTAGTTTTATCATTTTCTTCAGTTGCAATGTTTTAGTATGGACTTGCTTTCAATGAATCAATGATCTACTGAATAAGGTTTTTCCAAGCTGTATCTAAAATTTACACAGGCCATATAAAGTATCCATTTGAGACCCAAATTCTGCTCTTGTGCACAAATATTTTTTTTTTTGTGCCTGAGCATACTTTAAACTTGTATTGGTAAACAGTAGCTTTCAAAAGCATTCACAGCATTTGCTATGTTTTCTATGCATCTCTCAGAGTTTAATGTCTCAGTAGCAGCGAATAACTGAAGAGGATGAATATGCGTTTTTTTTTTTTTATAATGTGTGGCATGCATTTTTATTCAACTTCTTTGCATCAACTCTTTTTCAGCAACTACAGCTGATAATAAAAACAATATTTAAATTACTTTTCCATATTAACATCTACGGACTCTGTTTTTCTGTCTTTTCTCAAAGTCGTTTATATTCTCCTTCTGATTTAAGTCTGGACTTTGATTACGCCAGTCAAACTAATGGAAATATTTTGATCTAGACAAATCCTCGAACTCTAATGTGTTGTCCTTCAAAATTGACTCAGTTTGGTCACATTTATGCATCAAGTCTGATAGCTCTCTTTTGGTATACCTACTAAGAAAAAGCATCCTACCATCACATATCACCATGAAGATGGTGGGTATACAGTGATGCAGTGTCATTTTTTCCTGTGTTAATATGTCTTTATGTCTAAAAAAATGTTACCTCAGAGTTTTCTGATGTGTTAGCTGGTCTCTATGCTTCTATTTGATATCCAATAATATCCAACAAACCTCAGGAAGCTTCATAAAACATTTGGAAATATGCAGAGATTAAATTAAAACAGATATTTTATTAAATAAAACTAGACTATTTCTATTAAATAAGGGGCCTCTGTATTTTATAAAGGGTTTTCACAGTAAAGGGAGCCTAACAGCAATGCCCACTAAACTCTATAGTTAAAAATATATATATTTATTTTCTTTCCGCTTCAGATTTGTGTACTAAGTTGTTTTCAACTGTCACATAGAATCTTTAAAAAAAAGAACTAAAGTTTATGGTTTCAGTAGAATAAAATCAGTAAACTTAAATGATTATATTATTATGAAGTTGTAGGCACCTATTTTTTTTTCCTTACGTTGTAGTTACATATTTTAGCAGGTTACCCTTTGTAGATCTAGAGTCAAAAGAAAAATGTTAATAAATTCATGGGTAAGCTCCCTTTAAGAGCCTCCAGACATCATGGTTATTTGGTCCTTTATTCCTATCAGGTCTTATCCTTGCATGGATCAGCCGTCATTGTTGTACAAAGATTATTACTGATTTGTTCTTGGCTTTAGAGTGAAGGCAGAGCAAGGATAACATCAATATATGCCCAAAGGCGTCAACAACATGGCAAGCTCTGATATCCAAGTGAGCCGGTATGAGACCCCAACAGCTTCTGAACTGCACAGACTGATGTGGACAAAGAAAGGGAGCAACAACCATATGGACGAAGTTTACCCCGGGATCTATATTGGAGACATGTGAGAACTGATTCCCTGTTAGTATTTTACTTACCAGTGGTGTAACCAAGCATCTAGCTCAAAAGTAAAGATTTTGATATTTGGTTCATTGTTCAGGATAGAATGCCCGTCAGACTGAAAACTGAAACACATAAAAAACAGTTAATAAATTAATGATAGTTTTCCTTCTATTTAGTTTTTGTCATGCAATTGCATTTTTTGCATAAGATTTAGTTGCAAACACAGCCTTTACTTGTAGTGTTCTGGCAGAAAAGACAGAAGTGGTCAAAATGCAGCAAAAATCCTGAAATTGGAAGTCAAAGCCCAGTGAGCTGTGCCAAGGACTACACGCTTGGTCTCTCACTAAATGTAGCCAAAATGCTGCCACACCAATAAGTTATAAGCTGTAAAAGCCTTTTTAATGTTTTTTTGTGATAAAGTGTTGTCAACCAGTCAAAAGAGAAGCCTTTTATGCCAAAACTATCTGGCTGTGTTTTACTTGGATGAGTGCTTGTGATAAAAACTGTTTTCCATAACTTCATATCTGGCAGCTTTTAAATAGACCTTGTGATATTTGGATTATTACTCTGATGTGCATTGGATTCGTACACACAGTTTTCCCCTAATGTCAGTAAGGAATTCAGTCACATCCCAAAGGACCACATTTTACAAATAATTGTGTTTTACTCAAAAGAGCTGAAATCACAAAGCGTCCCATCATTAATCCTTCATAAGTCTACAGCTGTTCATTTTTTACAATGCCTAAACTAAAAAGTCTAAAAAGACACCTCAACATAAAACCCCTCAAAGTAGTTAAGACTGTTCAACATAGTAAATTCTCCACCATGTATGGGGATCAATTGCAGCGAGGCTGTTGATTTATTAGAATTTACACGCGTCAACAGATATTTTGTGATCATAGAACAAAGTTAAAAAACACTGACACATTTTAAGCTAAGGAACCCAGCAGTTACCTTGTTGGTCTGGCTGTCGATCACTGCTTTCTGGCTGACATGTGACTTTAACCATTTAGAGTCCTTTTCCTTCAGCTTTAAGTTTGGCTTTTAACTTAAAGATTCATAAAGAATCTTTAAGTTAAAA